CATTTCTGTTAGATTTAATCTCGTTGGTATATATTATTGAGTTTATTAAAAGAATATTTACTTTCACTGTATTCCAATTTTTTAGTTTTATAACTTTTTTAAATACGCATGTAGAAATTGGAGAGGTATTGATAATTATAACTTTTTACATTACTCTTCATAAAAATATCTATTCGTTTTGAAAATATTCTGACAATTGTTTTGTCATTTGAGTATTGGAGTCACTTTATTTCTAAATTTTCTTATAATAAAATAACATATAAAACTCCCATCAAACAACCGAGGCCGAAAATCCATGTTAAAAATAGGTGAAAATTTTAGAACCTATGGTTAAAATAGTATGCGTGGAACCTATGATAAAATTAAACATTTAATCGGCATTAGTTGTAAAAAAAAAAAGGCATACAGTTCATCGAATTTTTTATAATTTAATTTAATTAAAACAATATTTTTAAATATTAAACTAATTATAATATTAGTTTCTCTTTATTATCTTTTGATATATCACTGTGTATCTGGTTATAAAATTTAATTCTCTTTAAAATTACACACTATTTTATGTTTATTTTTAATTTAATATAATATCTCAATTAAAAAATTATTAATTACATTGTAATTAAAATTATTTTGAAAAAACTTTATTAATTATACTTTAAAAACGAAAAATATTTTATATTCATAAATAAAATGGCTCAATAGTAAAAAAAAAAGTTAAAGTACACATTTAATCTTTTAATTTTATATAAAGTTTTATTTTAATCCTTTAACTTTATAAACTACTTTTTAGTCATATAAACTTAATATCATTAATTTCATCCCAACAAAATTTACATTAAATTTTTAAATATTGACATAAGAAATTTATTTATATTTCAAAATAACCATCACGAATGCAAAAAATTACTTTATAAGATTAAAAGATTAAATTAAAATTTTCTATAAATTTAAAGATTTAAAAATATATTTTAACTATAAAAAATATTGTATGAAAAAATAAGTACAATCTGTGTATGAAAAAAAAAAAATCATCTCCCCAATAGGCTAATACTATAAGCAACACTGCCTTGATCCCAGGGATGATAATTTTTTTTAAATAAATAATTAAGATATTTTTAATGATGGCATTATTTACTATTGCAAAATATGAATCAATAAAAATTTAATATTTTAAATATTATTTTAGATTTTGTAAAAGATGTAAGTTTTTTAAAAAAGGGAAGAATCCTCATTTTCACTTCTTTTACGAAAATTTTCCTTTTATTTAATTGAGAATTTATGTTTTGGCCTGATTTTGGCTTAGAATTAAGTTGATTTTTTTTTGAGTTAAAGAAATGCCAGCTGTTTATAAAAATAAAATTACAAGAACTGCCTTTAAAAAAAAATGTGATTGTAATTGTCACGAGACACTCCATTCAAATAAGCATTGTGCAGAAGCCATTCAGTCTTATTTGACCCATTGTAATAATAGAAAAGGTTCGATTTTGTCCGGTCTAATTAAAAAATAATTCTTTAACATTGAAAAGATCATATTATTTCTTTGAGTTGAATTGAATGGAAGAATAAACGTCTAGACCACTTGATCCAGTTTGATTTATAAATTTATTTAATATGATTTTAATTAATTACTAATTATTTGTAATAATAAGTTAAGGTTATTAATAATTTAATAAGTCTAGTCATTGCATAATCACATGCTTAGACTAATAATTTAATAATCTAAATTATTTGACTGTAATTAAAATATTTTTTTTCTTGTTGTTAGGGAAGTATGAATTATTATGATTATAAAATTTTTTATTTTTTAACTGAGTTTATTAAATTGAAAAAGGAAAAAAAACGAAGTTATATTAATTTTAATTTTATAGACTAAGTCAGATTTTATTAATTTTTATGTTATTATTAAATCAGATCAAACTATAGGTTATTTAATCTAATCTTTTTAATAAAAGAAATTAAAATTTGAGTTAAGTTGAAATCCAGTCCTTTGTGGCCTAATGCAAACCTGATTAAACTTAAACCCTCCCTTTTACGCTAACACCAAAATGTCAAGTCGGTAACTGAATTGATTCAGGACACCGACATTTCAAAACGGCAGCACCGCCTTGAGTAAATTTGTGATTTTCGCGCGCCCTGCAAACCCTGAAAGGCCAAAACCCTTCCCCTTACGCCAACCTCAAATTATCCTAACGTAACTGAGAATTGATTCAGGCACGAACAATAACACACACGCTGCTTCCTCTTCTCTCGTCGTGCTGCAATTGCTGGGGTTTTTTGGGGAGACGAGGAAGGAGCACATTATGGCTCTGGCGCAGCCAATCGAACAAGTTCAATGTTTCGGCCGTAAGGGGATCGCCGTTGCCGTGACTCACTGCAAGCGCGGCTGTGGACTCATCAAGATCAATGGCTGTCCGATGAAACTCGTGCAGCTGGAGATTCTCCGGCCGCTAGGAAAACACCGTTTCGCCGGTGTCGACATGTGTATTGCCAAAGCCAGCGTTGCTTTAGGTTGGTTCAAAATTTCCCTCCTACTGGTTTCTCTGTGTTCGCGCTTTTCATTTGCCCGCCCTCTCTGTTCTTGTCGTGTGGGTCCCGCTTGTTATGGAATCCAGAACATTAGATCAACATTCAACAGTGATTCGTCCTGCCGCACTTTGTCATTTCCGCTCCTCCGTTGCTGATCCGAAATTTCCCTCTCGGCTCACCCATTCTCCTTCGTGTTATCGCCAGTGTTTTACGTGAGCATGCTCAACCTGAAGAATGACGACGAAGCGTTATTTTCAGACTTTCTTTAATTCTATACCCTGGTGCTCGGACAATTTACTCTTGCAGCTCAGTTGGATATCCTATCCCTTAGACTGTTAGTTCAGATAAATTTGCTGTTACACTTATTCAGAAACTGGCAATTGAATTTTGATTTTCTATAATATTCATGAAGAGAAAGCACTACTTAGAAATCTTGCTTGAGAAGTATGAGTGGTTTCAATCTGAAATATTATTAGTTCAAACTGAATTTTGTCTCTCTCTTTTTTCTCCAAATATTATTTAAATATCATGCATTCAGATCGAGGATGAGAATTGAGGACGACAGAGAATAGAGCGGGCAAAAATCTGAAAGTTCGACATACAAATTAGTTTCTTTTTAAAAAAATATTCTTATACTAATGTTGCTTATTTAATGTTTTAACTGTCCAAGGTAGCTTCCTGAATATGAACAGTTTAACAAGTCCGTTAAAGATCTAGTTTTTCAACTTTATCTTTCAAAAATTCACAACTGAATTACTATTCTTAATATAGTACTTCCCTATTCTAACATCTCTGGGTTCTATGGTTGGACTATGCTGACCCTGCATAAGCAAGGTCTCCAAATCTTACTTCTCTTTCTCTTTTTTGAATCTGTTTTGGTCAGATTAGATTTAAGTGGGTCAGATTTAAAATTTTATAGAATTACTGTTGACATGTTCAAATGTAAAATGAATAAAAAAATTAAAATTATTAAAATTTGATAGATCTGAATAATAGAGGGAGAGAGAAGTGAAGTGGAGAAATGTGGCTTGCCCCATGTTGTTGTGTGCGTGCTGTAGCCTTCCTTCCTTTCTCTACTCCTCTCTTTTCACCACAACAAATTTTCTGTTTTGTGGTGTTTTTGGTTGTAATCTATCTAACAATTTTTCAATAAAACTCGAGGAAATTTGTTGTTATTCAGGGAAGGTTGTACGGTTTTTCAATTTAGTATAAGTTACAAGATGTATACTCCTTTTTATCTTATTTGTTTAAGAAAATTGAGAAAAGGGCTATACAAGGAAGGAAGATGCATTTGTACTTCACCTGTGTTTAATGTCCTTGTTGTGCATTTCTTTTTTTTTTTTCATTAAACTTAGTTTGGCATTGTTGTAAAATAAAAATTATTTTGCCTTTATTTGTTTTGTTTAAATTAAAACCAGTGGTAAGTTATGCTTTCTAACAATTATATGATTATATGGATTTGCCTCTAGAAAATAGGTTTATTACTGATCCTATGAGTATAAATACTGGAGGTTCACCAATAAAAGGGATTGTATGTGCTTAAGGTTCTTACCATGAAGAATACTGGAGGTTTATTACTGGATTGTATGTGCTTAAGAGCTAAATCATGAAGAATTTATTTATCTCTTTTCCAAGCTGTTTTCTCTTGGGTTCTTGTGGTTTTATGTAGGGGTGACAGAAAGGGGGTTAGGTTTGGAGGTGATGAATTATGATTATCTATAATAGTATAGGTATGAAGCATGACATGGCCTCCATTTCTTCAGTGCAATATCTCACTATTTTCTCTGCAGGTGACTTACTTATGCTTTTACATGTATGGTATTGCCTACTTCATATGGAGAATTAAGGCCTCTACTTGAGAAGCATTGATTAAAGGTTAGAAGTCTAGATTTTATTATAAATTTGTCATGTATGGCTATCTATGCTAAATCACTTGCATTTTGATTGCCTTCCATGTATTTTGTAATTTAATTAGTTCATATTTCCACTCAAGGACATTCTAACAAGGTCTGAATGTATTTTCTATTCCTGACTAACCTATAATTTGTTCTTTACATGCATTGCTTTCACTATCTATCAAAATTGAATATTTGACTCTTTAGGGAATTGATGACACATTGGTTTTATTTAGATGCCTTTTGGTTTGAGATTTTATCCATTTTCTTACTGCACTTGTACAAGGCTCAATGACAATATGAGTTGATGTTTAAATGTGCAGAAATGAATTTTTAAGGGATTATTTTTTCCTTTTAGCTTAGATTGTTAGTGCCTAAGCTACTTGTTAGATGTTTGTAATAGTAGAATAAAATAAATAGGAGAAGAAGATAGCAGGAGAGAAGAACAAAGGAAGGTTTAGAGAAGATGAGAGACGAGAGGTTGAAGAGGAAGAGAGAAAAGAGAGGCGAGAGCTTTCTGAATAATACCAAACCCTATTGATCAACAACAACCTAATACAATTGAACATAAAAGTATTTATATGACCACTGAATACCCCAATGGTTAGCAATCAACGGTTATAACTAACTAATAAATGTCAAAATTATAAAAACATAACAATACCTCCCTTAAAAGAGATCCTAGCCCTCAAGGATAAGTGATAACAAAGTTAGAAAACTTTTGTTGAAATTGGTACAAAGGCATCCAAGAGGCTTCTTTATCTGGAAATTGTTTCCATTTGACTAGAATTTCAATAATAATTTGTTTCTTCCTGTGCCCAATCTTTTTTGTAGAATCTGTTCAGGTTCACTTGAGGCTGGAATTTTTGGCCAATCAAGTGGAGGGTGCCTTTACTTCACATTAGGATCTGGACACAGCTTCAATAAAGACATATGGAAGGTAGGATGAATTCTAGAATCAGGTGGCAAGTTGAGTTTGTGAGCAACAGCCCCTATTCTTTCCAACACCTTGTAAGGCCCTAAAAATTGTGGTGCTAATTTTTGAGAGCTCCTATCAGCAATAGATAGTTGTCTATAGGGTTATAACTTGAGAAAAACCCATTGTCGCACCATAAATTCATGATCAGATCTGTGAGTATCAGCCTGTTGCTTCATCATATTAGTGGCATAGTGCAAATGATGTTTTAAAACCCTTATCATCTCTTCCCTTGTTGTGAAGGACTTGTCTAACACATCTAAAACAAAATATTGAGGTAAATAAGGACAATGTAGAGGAGGAACCTAACCATATAAAAGTTCAAATGGAATAGCCTTAGTTGCTGTATGAAAGGTAGTATTATACTACCATTCAGCTTGTCACAGCCATCTACTCCATTCCTTGGATTGCTTCCAGCCCATGCACCTTAAATAAGTTTCTAAACACCTATTAAGAACTTTGAATTGGCTATCTGTTTAAGGATGAGAGGCGGTAGAAGATGTTGTTGCACACTTAAAATTTGTAAAAATTATTTCCAAAATCTACTTATAAAAATTGGATCACGGTCAGATATAATTTCAACAGGAGCACCATGTAATTTATAAACATAATCTATAAAAATTTGTGCTAAAGAAGATGCTAAATAAGGATGAGTCAAAGGAATAAAATGTTCATATTTACTCATCCTATCAATTAAAACCCAAATTGTGTCCTTACCATTGTATTTAGGAAGTCTCTCAATAAAGTCTATGGTAATGCTCTGCCAAATTTGACTAGGTATAGGTAGGGGTTGTAACAGCCTCGGGGATGAAGTAGCTTCATATTTACATCGTGCACAGGTATCACACTACTTGATGAAATCTAAAACATCATTGATAAGCTTTTTCCACCAAAACAATGCCTTTATCGATTGGTAAGTAGCTTGAATGCCTGAATGGCCTCCTTGAAGACTAGAATGTAACTATTCAAGGATTCGTTGTTTTAGAATAAGATCATGACCAACTACCAACTTCCCTTTCTTTCTTAATAAATCACCATCCTAAGAGAAATGACTCCAAAACCTATTATTTGCTTGAACCCTTTTCTGGATTTCTATAATTACAGCATCATTCTGGCAACTTTCCTTGATTTTTGAAAGCATTTCAAGGAGGAAGTGTCCAAAACAATCTGTAATAATTGTTATTTGGATAATCTAGATAAAGCATTAGCTACAGAATTTTCTTGCCCCTTTTATACTGAATTCCATAGTCAAATCTAGCTAACTTAGCAATCCAAAACATCTAAAAGGATGTTTTTTTAACTTCTGTCCAAGCAAGTACTTTAAGCTTTTTTGGTTTGATCAAATGATAAATTTCTGTCTTTTCAAATATTGGTGCTAATAAAGCACAGCTAACACTGCTGCCATCAATTCTTTTTCATAAATTGATAACCTTGATGTCTCCTAGCCAGTCTTTTGTTGAAATAAGCAATGAGTTGTCCCTCTTACATTAAAATAGCTCCAATTCCTACTCCACAACCATCTGTCTCAACTACAAATTGCTTTGAAAAATCTGGAAGTATGAGTATAGGTGCAGAAATCAATGCTTTTTTAAGATTATTAAATGCATCCAGGGCTATTTGTGACCATACAAAACCATTCTTCTTAAGGAGAAGAGTTAAAGGTTTAGTTAAAACTCCATACCCTTTAATGAAACGCCTATAATAACCTGCTAGCCCTAAAAATGCTCTTAATTGTTTGATATTTTAGGGTTTAGGTCAATTAGCCACCGCTTGTATCTTCTTAGGATCAGTTCTAGCCCTTCCATTACTAATTAAATGCCTCAAGTATTCCACCTTAGTGGCAGCAAAAGAACACTTACTCTTTTTGACACAATAATGGTTTTCTCTTAGAGTATAGAAGACTTACTTCAAATATTGCACATGATCAACAAGATTAGCACTATAAACCAATATATCATCAAAAAACACAAAAACAAACCTTCATAAAAATGTCGGAAGATGCTATTCATGGCCTTTTGAAATGGTGCCGGGGTATTAGTTAAGCTAAAAGGCATAACTAACCACTCATAGTGCCCTCTATGAGTCTTAAAGGCAGTTTTATGCACATCTTCTGGTACCATCCTAATTTAATGGTATCTCGCACACAAATCTAGCTTTGTAAGCCATTTTATTGTGGTTAATTCATTGAATAAATCTTCCACTAATGGAATGGGGTATTGGTTCTTAATTGTCCTCTTGTTCAGCTCCCTATAATCAATGCACATCCTCCAAGTGCCATCTTTCTTTTAACCAAAACAATAGGGGCTGAGAAAGGAGAGGAACTTTTTTGGATGACCCCTGAATATAGGAGATCACCAACTAATTTTTCAATGACATCCTTTTGTGAAGTTGAATATCTGTAAGGCTTAAGGTTTATTGGGTTGGTACCTTTTTGGAGAATAATGGGATGGTTATGACCATCCCTAAAAGGTGGTAACCCTTTAGGTTCATCAAAAAGGTTGGAGAATTCTTCCAGAGTGGCTGTAATCACTATTAGAACTTTTCTAAGTGTAAAAAG